TCACCCTTGTAAACATTCAGCAAGATGGTCTTTAGTGGAACATAGTTGCTGCTGTACACGCAGGAATATATGCCTGAGTCCTCTGCCTGGAGGTCAGACATGGTGATGGACACGGTCCCGTTGTCATCCTGTATTGTAATGTGGCCCTGCCTGGCCCTGTCTGAATATCTATACTCTATTGAGGCATGTGTCAGCACTACAAGCTCGCATCGTTCATTTCTCATGCGGCACCAGGCTTTCAGTTGCTTGTCAGACTGTGCTGTGTAAGGGCACTTGATAGAGAACGTGCTTCCTTCCCGTTGGCTCATCTCAGCTTCAGGTGTTCGGGCTGGGAGACCTGCAAGTACGGGGTCTGGTGAGGCTACAGCACTGCACCCACAGAATGGCTTCAGCTGGAAGCATTGAGGAGGCTGATGTGGATGGTGAGGAGTATGGTGAAAGCTGAGGCTGCTGCCCCTGCCCTGCACTGCCCTCCCCTGCCCTTCCTCAGCACTGCAGGACTTGGAAGGGTGTCCCATGGGAAGCCTCTGATGTGCCTAGCCCTCCTCTTACCTGGGCAGTAGAGCAGCAACAGGAGGAGGACTCTCAGCTCCATGCCGTCCTCAGGCACAGGGCAGGGGCATTGCTGGGGGCTGCCCGACCTGCCCGTTCCAAAGCGTCTGCCTTGTGAGCCTTCTGTCCTCCCACTGACGCTGCTGGAGGAAGTCCCTGACGTCTTGCCTTCCCTCAGAAATCTTTCACCATATTTTGCAATGAAACTGATACCAAGATTATTTCAGGGTTCATTTGGGGAAGTGGCTGTGGGCAGAGCTCAGCACACACTGAAAGGAGAGGCTCCTTGTTGTGCTTGCTCAGCTATTGTCCCCCCTCTGCTCTCACACTGGTGGCAATGGAGCACTCTTTTGAATGTTCCAAGGCATAGGAGATGAAGCATGACCTTGGCCTTGGCCCAGCCATGGCCAGAATGTCTTTCCAAGACATGGTGGCCTTATAAGCCTTTCTCTTCCTACGTGTCAAACAACAGTTCCTTTCTCTTCCCTTCCCTCTGCTTACCATTTAGTAGTCTTAAGAAATACTTTTTCTTTGTGATGTAATGTCACAACTTTGAAGTCACTTTATTTGTGAAAGATTTTCTCATGTTTCACAACAGATAATGTTTCCCTCTTCCTTCCTTCCTGATAAATAAAGGGGATTCTTTTGTCCCTTGGGGCAGAAGCAGACAGTGCCTGGCAGGACCTGCTGTTTTCAACCCTTGGTGCTCTGGCTGGCCCACACTGCCCTGTTTACCTGGTGGCTCACCTGTTTTATTTCTGCTTCTTACTGACAGTTGTTTCATTGGAGTTAAAGCGAGTCTTTAGAAAAGGAAAATAGAAGGTTGTTTGCCATTCACCAGCAAGTAAAATATATTCAGTAAGGATTGAACTTCTTTGGTGACAGGAAACAAAGTGAAACTGTCTGGACAGGCAAGTATGCAGCTGCTGAGGTGGTGTTGGCACTGATGTCTCTATAGGCACAGCTGAAGTGATTTTAAGTACAGGAGAAACAATAGAAATATTGAAATGAGAGGTTCAGAGCAGCTTGTGACGTGGCTGACTCTTAGCTGACTGTGAAAATGGACAGCTAAACACAGCCTCCTGTCTGTGCACGTCCTTTGGATTCCCAGTGTCATTCAGGAATTGAAGATGAGCACACCAGTACTCATGCACTGTACAGGATCTCAGACAAATGCAGAAGGAACGCTGTGTCCAAGATCCCCTTGCCTCTTGCACTGCTGCACCCCTTACGTGAAAAACAGAAGAGCAGAAACAAGAGGAATCACTACTGTGCCTGTTCTGGAGCCAAGAGGAAGGGCAGTGAAAGGAAGATCAGAACAGCAGGTATCTTCACTCTGCACCCTTCTGTCCCCCACTGGGACTGCTGGAGAAAGTGGTTGAGCTTTGTGGTTACAGCTTGGCTTAGTGTAGAAATCCTTCTCTACAGTTGAACAACCAAATTCATGCATGAGTGATTAAATCATCCATCTCAACAGAATTTGGCCAGTTCAGAAGACACAGAGGCATCAGACAGAATCCAAGGACCTCCCCTTGAAACTGCTGTGCCTTTCTCTGCCCTTCAAGACAGTGACAATAAAGAAGCAAAGCGGCAGTAAATTCCTCTGCCTTCCCACTGCCAGCAGATGTGCTCACAGCAGTCTCCCCTGGGCCAGTGCCTACCTGCTTTGCTCCATCAGAGCAGTGAGAAAGACTGTTCTGACACCCCGGCTGCAAATAATTTCCAATTATATGAATAAGCAGCTTATTAACAATACATTCCAGCTAATCATTTTGTGCTAAGATATCTTCACGTTGTCTTTTCCCCAAATCCCTCTCTCATCAGGCACTTGATGCTGAATAACAAGAAGGAGGAACGCAGTGGTTCTCTTATGAACAAATCCCAAGAGTCTGCAATTACTTCAGTTTCTGCAACTGGTTGCCAACAAACTGAGCGGAGAACTGTGCTGTAGTGCTGCAGGAAAGGTGGAGGCATCACATCTGTGTTTGCTGTGCCTGGTGCAGGCTGAGTCCTGGAGCAGAGGAGCTCTCTGGAGCAGGACAGGTCAGGAAGAAGTGTCTGTGTCAGACTCAGTGGATTCCAGGAACAGCTGGGAAGTAATGAAGTTGGTCCCCTTGCTGTATCTCTGTCAGAGGATCAATGTGGATTTTAATTATCACATTGCAGTCAATGAGATGAATGCAATCCCTGGAGGTCACTTAGCCTACCCCAGTGACACACGCAGTAGGATCAACTCCTCCTGTGTCATTTCTGGAGATCAGTTTAACTAGTTAAGGTTGCAGCATTCTTCTGGTGACTTATTGCAGTGCTGTACCATCCTGATTTGAAAGCTTTTCTTAAAGCTCCATGCTATTTGAGTGCCTCTCTCCCTTTTGTATCTGCAGAGAACACAGGGAACAGATGATTCCCTTTCTTTTGCTCTGTGTGCAAGGACTCCTGCCTTGCCTCCCCTCAGTCTGTCACTCTGCACTAACCATCCCCAATCCCTTTAATTTTCACTCCTGAGTTGTGTTTCCGACAGCTAGGATCGTTTTTGTTCTCTGAACTCTCCCATCAATCCGCCTCTTCTCTGCCAATCCGCCTGGCATCCCTGGGGCCCCCTGAAGTTCCTCCAGAGCTTTTGCATCCAATCAAGAACGCAGCCTTGTACTTGTTGCCTTCCGCACAAACTCTGCCTTCCTGCTCTCTTGCTCCCGTTGCGACGAGACCCACGGCAGCCCCGAAGATGCAGCAGTGGCGGAGGGGCCGCTAGAGGGCAGAGGGCGATTAGGAATGGGGCACGGGGCTCCGGGCACTGCCCCCAGCCGAGCTATCGGCCCGCACCCGGTCTGTGCTGCCGGGAGCGGAATGGAAATGAACCGCACCGCTCAGCGAGAGCTCTGTGCCGGGCTGGCACAACGCTGGCGGTGGGCAGGTGCCTGCGCACAAAGAGAGAATGGGGAGTCACAGAACTCTGAAATCGCAGTTAGAAGAGGCTCACAAGGATCAAAGAGATCACAAGAAGATAGCCAGCGAGTTTCCTCTTCCTAAAAGTGTAAGCAGGCTACAGTCCCAGGGCCATTTCTGTGAGACCTGCCAGGCTCTTTCTGGGGACACGACGCCAGCAGGGAAACACAAACACATCCTTGATCCTTGTCCGAGCCTGATGCTCTGCAGGGATGCAAGGCAGCAGGGAGTGATGCTGAATAATTCTGGGAAAAGAGGCTGCTGGGATAAGGGAGAAGATAGGCTGATGGGGGGTGACCCAGGGAAACAGAAGCCACAGCGATAGCCAGAGCCTGGCTGGGGAGGAACCAGGCAGAGCCAGGATGGCTGTGTGTGCTGGGGCTGCAGGGTGCAGGACGGGCGTTCTGTGTGCAGGACGTGGGCTCGGTGCAGCTCTGAAGGAGAAGAGGCCCCACAGCAGCAGCTTAGCGAGAGGCCTGGTGTTTGGTCTGTTCCACATCAATGGGGCGTCCAGCTGTGGCTGAGGATGAAAGCAAGCGAGAGAGAGAGGATTAAAGGCTCCCAGGGTCTCCTCTAACCCGCCTAAGACTCACTGAGAGGGCAGTGTGCGGCTTCAGGAAGGCTTCTTCATATGGAAAATATTATGTGAGGGAGAGAAAGCGAGGGGGAAGGGAAGAGGGAGAGTTCTGTCCAGAGCTCTGGGGGGGAGCAGATCACAAAAACACTTTGGAGCCTCCGACCCAGCCCAAGGAGAAAGCAGAGCTCCACTGTAACCTCAGAGTGCAGTGGGGCATGGGTAGTGGGTTTAGAAGACCTTTGGGCAGGAGGTAAGTCCAAATGTGCAGAGAGAGAGAGAAAAAGGAAAGGATGAAAGAAGAGGAGAAGGGAAGAAGGGATACAGAGAAATTGGGGAGGAAAGAGAAGGCTGGCAAAAGGGAGGAGAAAGGAGAGACATGCGGGGGGAGGTGGTGAAAAGTGGATGAGGGACATGGAGGAGGGAGGTGGTGAAAGGCCGGCTGTCTGCTCCGCTGTGTTGTTAACCAGGTCGCCAGGTGGAAGCCCCCGCACTCCTGGTCCTTTTCCTTCCCCCACCAAACTTCTCCCAGGAATGCCTGTGATGGGGAACAAATTGCTAACAGAAGTGAGACATTTTGCACCAAACGCAAGCAAGTTTCCAGTGAAAGGTTTCCTGTCAGCGGGTTGGGAGTGGAGGGTGTGGAGCCTTTCTGCCTGCTCTGGCAGAGTAATCCTACAAGTTAACACGAAGCACTGGTTACAGTGCAGGATAAAGGACCTGAGGCTGGGCTTTCCTGCCTTCTGTTTTGGCTGCTGCCATTTGGCTGCTTTTATCCTCTGTTATTTTCTGCTTCGCCCCTGTGTGGCATTTGAGGCCTCATTAGCTGCTCCTCTACTCCCCCCAACCACCCCCCACCGGTGAGATCTCCCGAGAATTCACAGGCTTCCACTCCACTTTCCTCCTTGATTTATACTGTTGAACTGAATGACCTTCGCTGACCTCATTTTCATGACAGTGTGAGCACACACATCAGCACCCGTGAATGGCAGCGATCCTCCCTCTTTTGCAGTCCTGCCCTCTGAGCTGCAAGGACACTGGTGCTCCAGGTCGCACATGGGGTGGGTTTGGTGTGTGCTGTGTGCTGCACAGGCACGGTGCCCACTGCCTGAATCTGCAGTGCTGTCTTGCATGCTAAAGCCCAGAAACATGGAAGGTGCTTGCTGCAAAATGCTGCTCTACCTATCTTTGCTTATATGGACAATGTTTAGCTGAACTGGTGTGCATGCAAAAGCAGTATGTAGAAAAATACTCCCGTGTATTTTCACTCTCTGTACAGACAACCAGAAGTTTTCCCTCTTCCATTATCTACATGTCAAGGGAGCCCTCAGATATATATGGCATCTCCCTGTGAGAAATGCACACCAATCATGTCTCTCCTTTTTATCTAGGTTGCTGTGTTCTTGGTCATCGCTGCAGTAGCTGAAAAATTGCTAGATGGGCCAGACAACCCAAAACTCACAGCTGAGAGACGTGCATTAACAGCCTGTTCTGGATAAGCTTGCAAGGTGGGGGGACTTCTGTTAGTACCAATTTGTGGTGCCTTGTGACTTTTGCTTGAAGAAGTGGATTTTAACTGCAGGGAGAAGAAATCGCTTCTCCCTAGGAGATACACCTGAGTCTCTGCTACTGGTTTTCAGGAAGTTTGCCTCAAGTTCCTGAAGGTAAAAAGAGCAGCTGAGGACTGCTGCTGGGTTTTGGAACAGCACTTCAGCTCCAGGCCAGTTTGCCATAACTGAGCTGTACACCACCTAGCTTCCATTCCGGCATCCCAAAGCTGATTGTCTTCCACCCTCTTTCTAAATAGTTGCCCCTTCCCTAGCCCAGCGGTACATAAATCCCTTTGTCCCTTAGCCTGGAAATCTGCCTTCCTGTCCCTCCCTTCCCTGCCTTCCTGGGAAGTCAGCGTGGATATGGTGCTGCTGGCTTGCCTGTCTGAGCTGCTTAGTTAAGAATAATAAACAAACTCCTAAATGGAAGGATATTCTTTAAACCTGCCTTGTGCTGCCTGCCAGGGAATGCAGGCAGCGAAGCCCACCTCCTGTCCCCCCTCCAGCCCTAGCTCCAGGCTCTCCTGAAACCTGATCTCCTTTGCTTTGGAGCTGCACCATGGCCTCTGTGTGCACCTTCCCCCCTGACCCTGTCTGGATTCTCCTGTCCTTTTCCTGACACACACCCAACAAGCACATGCTCCTTGCTCAGACACACACATAACTGAAGTGCACACAGCAAAGGTGCACGGTGCCCAGCACAGATGGGCGTGGGGTTGATTTGCACACTAGTCCACACATCCATTCAAATAGGTTTGCAAAAACACTATTAAAAGTGATGCAAACACTCACTATGCCTACAACTAGAGGCTGTACATTGCCTTGGGAAACCCACCTAGGCATTGAACGCAGAGGCAGGAGGACACTGGAAAGTGCACAGACATGTGCAAGCAGTGCCCCCACAGCTCCACATGTGAAAAGCAGCGTGACACCAGGTGTGCAATGACATGGCAGCCTCAAATCACAACCAAAAACATTGCAAAGCAAGTCCTATAACAGGCATGCTGATAAAACAGGCCAGCATGTGCCCTGATTTCTTCACACTCTCTTTGTACGGTGGTGTCTGTCTATTATTTTTCCCGCTTATCTTTCCTACATGTGCACTCTGCCTTCACTCATATGCATCCCAGCTTTCCTATAGACTGCATTCTCCCATTTCCTGGATGTTTTGCTCTTACAAGGACATGCCATCACTACCACACTCTTTCCATATACCTTTCTATATGCCTTGTCCAGTGGGTTTATACACCTCTGTCCTTGCACACCTTTGAAATGCAAACCTTCCTGTACATATCTGCTTTGCTTTGATACCCTCCCTTCTCCAACACAGGTGTCTTTCCCCATCTCATATTACTCATGTGCCTTGTTTAGGCAGACAAGCATCTTCTGCTGCTTGCTCTCCCACACAGCTTTCCAGCTTTCCTTTGCTGTGGCCCATTTTCCTCATGCCAGCATTCACAGCTAGCAGGAAGAGGATGTCAGTTAGAGGCTAAGCAGTCCCTGGGACCCTCTGGCCCTGCCACACTTTTCAATCCACTTCTAATTTTTCTCCTTCTCTTTTCAGAATTTATTGTTTTCAGCTCTCCTCCTCCTCAGTGCCTGCTAAAGGGAACTCGACTCCTCGCCTCTTCTTGTTGTTTTCATCTTGAGAGAAAAGGAAAAACCCATTTTGCTCTTTCCCCAGCTCCAATTCCCCTTCCACCCCCGCACCCCCAACCCCCCTTCCCAGCCCCGAAACCTTTTCCTGATAGTGTTGCTGTAACTGTTCAATTAAACGAGCAATTACAAAATCAATCAAACCAAAACGTGTGCTGTGCACTGGGGGGGACCGACTGCAGAGTGGGGACGTCGCCTGAGCCTGTCCCAGCCTGAAGGCAGCTCAGCTCACAGCTCAGCTGAAATTGTCTCATTTGATGGTGAGACGTTGCTCTGAGGACATGCACGGTGCTTCTGTGGAGCTGTGCTCTGCTGTGTAAAGCCAGCACCACTGGCTTCACACCACCTGCAAATTTTTCCCCATGGTAGGAAAAATTCTAGCAAAGCTCTTGCTGCTCACCATGGCCTTTGGTTTCAATTGGCCTGTAAGAGGTGTGCCAGTTGAAGGTGGGCTAAGTTCAGGTGGGAATGGCTTCTGCAGCAGTAGGAAGGAGGAAAAGTGATGTGGAGAAAATGGTAAACCCAAGGACAGGTCCTGGGCAATTTCATCTGGTTTTGCCTGGTGGCTCCCTGTCTTCTTTTGTGCTTACACTGCTGCTCCTGCTACACATCACACATCAAATCTGTGTGTGCCAAGGCTTTTTGCCTGTTTTCTCACCAGGTGACACTCACACTGTCTTCCTCTCCACTATCTGCATCTCCTCAGAACAACATCTGTGATTTTCACTGCAGGAATTCCCTCTGGACACCTGTGGCACTCTGGGTGCTGTCATCAGCAAGCAACCAGACTTTGCCTGACACAGAGTCACAAATTGTTCCAAAATGAGCACGAACAAGAGAAGATGAATTGGAGAACAGGTTGGGTTAAGGGGAAAATGTGCAAAGCAGATGAGTTTTGGTTCATATGTGGATGGAATTGTGGCAGCTTTCCAGTGGCATGAGGAAGCCAGCTTTAGCATTCAGTACTTAGGTGGAGATCCTGCTCCTGCTCATGGGTTCACCATAGGCACTCCATCACCATCTCACCCTTTATCAGCTGAGGCAAATTTTCAGAGAATTTGGGACCAGAGCTTGGTGGAAAGGACTGGGAAGGATTTATTTTCTTATGAGCAATGAGCACGAAAGGAAAGCCCTCTTGAAAAAGCCCTTTGTCTTCAGATAGTCCATTTGAGCTGTCAGGAGGACATCTCCATCTTGCTGGTGGCTCGTGGTCCTGCTCTTAGAGGAAGACCTCCCTCCAGATTGAAGGGAGGTAGGACTGGAGCTATTTAATGAGGCATTCTTATCCCAGACTTGACCTTGATTTTGCACAGTCAGAAGAGCAGCATCACAAAGACTTATCATTCCTTTAAGAGCAGAAATTTGGCGAGTTTCCTAGGGCAGGAGTCCAGTTTGGCTTAATTTTCAGTGAGTAATACTTAAAGCTTGGTGACCCTGCAGGTCCTATGGAAACACAGGGCTGTGTTGACACATTTCCTAATGCAGTCTACTCCACCAGGTGATACATCAGTCTTAAAATTTGCAAGGATGCTGCAGTAAGGTTCCCCACACTCATTCTTTTTAGTTGGATCACACCATGATATTCTGGAATTTCATATATATTAAAATATGGAAGATAAGTACCAATACACAACTGCTACTTTACCCCATTCCAAAGTTCCCTCTGCCTGTTTCAGTATTCAGTGCTGTTGCAAGACTCATCTGTATCACCAACCATGTGGAAATGACAGGTTGAAGAGGGCTGGAACGGAGAATGAATTGGCAGAGGGAGCCGTGGAGATGGGCTGACTTTCTCTTGCCACCTATCTTGCTGGCTCTATGTTATGACTGTATTGGTACCACTTGGGGTGTATGTACTGGGTATGCCAAGGATGCCTAGAGTCTGTGGCCCTGGTGTTTGTGTAAATCTTATTAAATAATTAATAACATGCAGCCGCCAGGCTTCCCCCCCTCCAAAGCTCTGTATAAAGCACTTCCCCCTACATTTTTCTTAGCATTGTTGCTGTCTTCTGGTCTGTGTCAGAGTTGCAGTGCAGCAATGAAATCATGACCACAGAAGACCCCAGATGCAGCTTGGAGAGCTGGAATTTCCACAAAAGTAGGAAATGCTGAAATTCTCAATAAACAAACAAAAAAATGAAAAGGAAAATTCTGCTTTTGATATTTCCATCTCAAAAGATGAAGAAAAGATTAGCGCCCTATGGCTCAGGCTCTGAGCTTCCCAGCTCCAAAACCCTGGCAAAGGCTGGATGTGCAGTGTTCATCACACAGCCTGCTCACCCATCACTGCAATCCTGCGCCCTCAGGCTCCTGCCAGCAAGAAACCAGGTAGATTCCTTTTGGTCTGAAGTTCTTTGGTTCAAGTCAATGAAATCATCCTGTTTTGCCCAAGTGAAAGTGGCTGCTCCCTACGGGAAATTCCCACCCAGCCAGGCGGGCACCCAGAAGGTTGTGTCCTGGTCTCCTAGAGGACAATCCCTGCTGATTCTGGCTGTAGATTCAAGTTGGCTCTGCCCTTCTCTGGGCTCACGCTGGGTGCCTGCAGTCATATGTATGAAAGAGCCTGCCCTGTGTCCCCAGCAGGACTGCTGGCCAAGCTGCACGTGGGCAGCAGCAGGTTGCACATTGCTGGTGGGAGCGAGGGAACCCAGCTGGCTCCTGGGAGGACAAACCCCTGTGGGAAATAAAGGCTTCTGCAGCTCCCGTTTGTGGTGATGTTTGCTGGTGGGTTAACGGACCTGAACATGCAGTGGGGAAACTGCAAGGAACCATCTCCCGTCTCTAAGGACTCGCTCCAGGCTTGCAGCAAGAGGACGAACAGGGAAATTCAGCCCCTGCTCAGGGGAGCGCACTGCCTGCTCCGACAGAAGCAGCTCCCAGGCCGACTTCTCTCACCCTGCGCAGGTGCTCCTGAGCAGATGCTGCTGCAGCGTGGTGCTGGGCTGTGGTTTGGGGTGGCACATCGTGCTCATGCCAGGCGGTGGCACCGTGCAGAAGCCTTTGGTCCAGTCCAGCTGCCTGTTTGCCATCTATATTTGGTAAAAAAATGCTTGGGAGTTGTTTGTTTGTGGCTCCTTGGAAACCCCCCTTAAGAAATGGCTTCTTTTGTTTGGTTACTTGGGAAAAAAGTATTTTCCCCTCCTCCTTTCACTATTTTGAAA